ATCCTTCTCTTTCTCTCTTTTTCTTTCCTCTCGTCTCATTCTCAATCAAATTCAAATTATTATTTCTTTAGACCGATAATAAAATGAATGCCATCGGACAGGCAGATGTCGAAAACGATAAGGAAGATGATATTCATAGGCCAACGGTGAATCGATCGAAAGCGAGCATTTTTTTTTCTCCCGAATCGAGATAGAACATTCCGAGTCAGAAGGGAAAAAAATGTGTTTGTCTTGACGGTTCTTATGGAAATCGACGATTTGAATATTTCAATATACACATTCTCTTCTCGGTGTGAAGCGTTGACCGATGTACAGTGGCATTTCTGTACGAAAGTGTTGCAAATACAATAAATTACACTTTTATCTCGGTAGCTACATATTGAAGTTTAACCGCACGTTCACATGTTTACCTTTTTTCTCTCTTTTGCCTTTTTTCGCTCATTCTCACCCTTCATCTTTCTTTTGCATTAGTGGAATTTGTATGCCATTTGCCGTTTGATTTGTCGTGTTGTTGTCCGAATCGGGTCGAATACATATCGCCACCCATACAGAGAAAGTCACCAGATCAAAAGGACTATAAATTTTTAAAGGCGCACACATACACACACACACACACGCAAGAATTGGATTCCATTCGAAAGAAATGTCACCCGACCAAACGGGGAAAAAAGCACCGAATTCAACCAACAACAGAATGAATCCATTCATGGGCTGTCATTGGATTTCATTTCATTTTTCTTTTCGTTTGCATTTCACTTTCATCTAAATTCATTGTATGATTATTACTATTGCCAATATTAACATTTTGTCATTTTGCCTGTGCACACTATTCTCCTCCGTATGGATATCTACCTTTTTTGATTTCGGCAACGAAGAAAAAGTACTATATCGTTAGACCGATAAACGGGATGCTCCACATCGTGTGTGCAAATGTGGTGGAAGCGAAAATGTGTACGAGAAAAAGAAAAAAAAAACGTGAATCACATGCAGTGATTTCAATACCTTTCAGCCACCCATAAAATATATGTATCAGAATTGCGGAATATTACATGAATACCGGGGCAAGATGCACAGTGATGGAACGATCCTTCTATTGCGCTGTCAGTGTTTACGTTGCACACTTGTTTTTATTTGGGTGATTCGTTGTCGAATATAAATTGTGTGTAATGTGCGATGTATTTTGGTGCGCGATGAGCTTTTGCAAGTGAGAGCAACACACAGCAGAGAGAGAGAGAGAGAGCGACATTGGGAGAGGTAGAGAGAGATAGTGAAAAACTCATCATTGTTCACTCTTACCTTTCAAAACGACGAATAACAGAGAGAGAGAGAGAGAGATATGTGGAGCATAATGTTGATCTTGTTCCTTGGATAAATACACATAAATTTAAACGGTAGCGCGCCGCAATAATAACAACAAAAATAACATATAAAATGAAAGTAGTCGAAATGGCAAAAAATCACGTAGGCACCGAGAATCTACACACCATTCTCAAATGAAGAGAGAGAGCAAACACGCATTGTTCTTACACACACATTTCGCAATTGCGTAAAGAAAAATAAATATTTATACCTGGTGCTCACATAAACGCCGAATTGGATCACTTAAAAACCATTCATACTCTTTTCGACTTTGATTCAAATTCCGTTTTCCCTTTTTCCCATTTCTTTGCCAACATTCATTTTCCGTTTCGAGCACCAAAGTAGAGGAACAGAGCATAAAAAAAAACACTCGATATTAAAATCGAAAACCAGATTTATAAGGTAAACATCGTTTTTGTATTGGATCTTGTGTCTATGCCATGGAACATCTAATGATTGCATTGGATTACACACATTTTCTGCCCACTTTCCAATTTTGCAACCCACAAAATCCGACCAAAAAACCTTTTCCAAACCGAATCGAAGCAAATCAAAGCCCCAACGAGCCATCCATTTTGCCAAATAAATAGGAAGTTGGCATCAAGAGTTGGCAAATTAAATTATCGGCAACGGATTCAACTTGAACCAGTGCCTTGGTTGGATTGCTTTCTTTTTCTTCACTCCATACCGACGATATACTACCTGTCTACGACGCCATGCAATTGATTTTGACCGAACCGTTATGCCGTATTAATCTCACCTTTTCAACGATCTCAATGATCAATTCTTGAACGCGTTCAAATTTCCTTCAGTCTGTTTCATTTCCGGTTGCTACGACGATGGCGGAGCCAATGGGTTTTTTGAAATGATAACCACGAAAATAACACAATGAATAAATCCGTGTCCGTCTATGTATTTTTATCTTGACATTCTTTTCTCCCTATCTCTCACGCGTTCTCTCTATCTCACTCACACACTCTTTCTCTCTCCTACTCACTCTCTCTCTCTCTCTCTCTCTCTCTCGTTGGCAAAAGCCTGTGGGTAACGCAACGTGAAATCATTTTTCCGTATGCAAAAACACGAGAGAACTCACTTTAACATGAAAAAAATGGTTCGGCGAGATGAAGAAAATAAATCCAATCGAATAAAAAATGCAGTCTCATCTATTTATACACCAGAATATATGGACTCGGTTTTTTTTGGGGTTCACATTTTTTTAAATGACTATAAAAAAACACAAGCGTATGCACAAAAAATGGGATTTTTTTGATGTGCTTTCGCGCGGAATGCAATTTTTCATCACTTTAATGTGAATAAAAATAAATGTGAGTCATAAAAAAACTCAAATTAAAATTAGTTTAAAAAGTTGTTGCAAGAAAAATGTGAACATTTTTTTATTTAATGAGGAGCACACACACAAAAAAAACGCTCACTAAACTGATCAATTTTTTCAATTTATTAATAGTTAATGGGAAATGAAAAAAAAAATCCATGCATATTTTCGTGTCATCCAGCTGAAATGCAGTTGCATAAGAGTTGATATAGTAAAATTGACAATTTACCTGCCGTTTATGTGGTTTTTTCCCTTTTCTCGTATGTTTTCCTCTGGAATTATTTCTGCCTGAGAAACAGCTTTGCGCCGCACATCATGATGGTTTTGTAGCCATCCGTGTGCCACATACTGAACATTTTAAACGGTAACAACATGATGAAAAATTTAATTTCCCATTTTCACATAGTTCAATCCCATTAAACTTCGAACTACACCGTATTTTGCGTGCGTGCGTGTGTTTTGGACTTTAGTTTATGTGTGTGCGTGCTATTTGTCTGTTTTTATTTCTGGTTAAATGCACTTAACATTCGTGTAAACCGTTCATGAATGTGACGCACGTTTCAACATCATCAACCGTAACGGTGGCGGCCCATACTTAATTTGACGATAAATCGTTGCCGTCAAAAGCCAATTAATTGCGACAAATGTAAAATGGTTGACTGGCAAAACATCGAATAGGTCACATTAAAATCATCTATTTTATGAAAATGGTATGTATGGGCAGGAGGGTTTTCGTGATGGCCTACACTCACAACCCAAATGCATTAGCCATCCATTCAGCACACTCACACTCGAGAAGCAATTACGTGAAAGTAAAGCACCAAACTAACAACTTCACAACAGACGACCAACGAACCAAACGACTTGAATTGAAGTGCAGCGACCGGTAAATTTTTTTTTTTCATCACAATATTTAATGAAACGAAATGGATGCGTTCCACATAATTGAATTTATGCTATCATTTGAAAGCATCAAAATTCGTTTTTGTGACAATTGTTCGACACACAAGTCACCCAAGTTCAATTCTCAATTCGAGTAATGTTCTAACTTTCGCAATGCATAGATTCGCGACACCAAAGCGTCGATCCTCCGATTAATTTACTGGAAAATCGAGTTCAATTTGTCATCATATTCAAAATTATCGCACACAAATGACCGTTAGATAAAATCTAACGAATCACTCACTCGATAAAAAAAAGTTTTCTCTTTTGATTCTTCTTAAATCATTTATTCAATCAATTTTATTTTCTTGGTTGAAATTGTTTGTATTTATTCTCTTCTGGTGTCTTTGTCACTCATCAATTTCGTCGTTTCATTGCCAACAAATGTCTTAATCACTCGTTATGCGAAATATTGTCTTTACGATAAATACGTTCGTTGAAAGTTCGTTCGTTGAGTAGCCGAAGCACAACACGACTTATCCAATCGACCGTTTTCCATGAACTAAACACCGTGTTCATCGTCTGCACAAACGATTACGTTGCTGTTTACCACCAGAGAGTCAACCGTTTTTCCATCGATGGTTTGAATACGGTGCACGCGCGATATGCATGTGTTCTTGTTTACAATCGCATTTTGTCGCGCTGGTGGATGAAGTGAAAATCCTTCAAACAGCTGTGAACTGCTGGGCCAACGATGAGAATGCAACGCTTCCTTTTGGCGACTTTACTTACTAACAAGCTTTATATGAGCTTTGAAGTGCACACTTTGATTGTGACATTTGTTTCAAAAGGAGAATTGCGGAAAGCATGGAGAAAAGTTAAAAAAAAAACTCGTTTCACACACTTACCGATAGATGCGATCCGCACATTTAGTTCTTTTGAATTCAATTTCAGAAGATCCAGAAAAAAATCCATTGCATTTAAAAAAAAAACCTCTTCAAATAATGTATAATCAAGTAGTATAACTTAGCATAAGAGATGTACTGTTGTCAACCGACACATGCGCGCCCACGCTACGAAGTTGAAATCTACGCAGCATCCGTTTGTTTACATTGCAAAAAATATAAACAAACAGCCATTTTAATGTGTCGCAAATCGAAACCAATGTGAATTCATTGAAATTTATAATTTTAAATGGTATTAGATTTACAAATTGGTTTTGTTCCTTTGGACATATACCATTTTTTGATTTTCCATTGAATAGAGAAAAATAGAACCATCGTATTGAAATGCAATCAATTACAGCAAGAAAAGAATGATTAGGGGAGTAAAATTCAATTGGAGAAGTAGAAAATCAATCGCTTCTGCAATAATTTCGAACGATGAACTTCCATCTGAAATAGGAAAAAATAGTCGAATTTGATGTTTCGATTCAGAGAAAATGCACCTCTCAGCCTTTATTTTGAAATGTTGTTTCGTGATTTCCGTTTGTTAAAATTCTGTACAATATACAATTTGTGTCTCTCTCATTGAATATCCTAAATTAATTACATCTTCATTATTATTTTGTTTTTTTTTTTGTTTTTTTTTTTGTTTTTTTTTTATAAATAGAAAGTGTCGTTCACGTGTTATATTAGATTTATCACATTTTATCTATTTATACAATGTGTACAGTGATTTCATTTTTTTTTTGTTTACTTTATTTTTCTTTAGTTTTGTTTGCTTCGGTTGATTTCATTTTTTCTTTCTGTGTATTTTCTTTTCTCTCTTCTTCAATTAAAATTTGTTGTAAGTTGTGTCTCGAACAATATGTGTGTTGTGAAACAGAAGTTGGAATAGAATTTAGATTATCGCTTTAGAACAGTCCGGCGTTGTCGATCACTGACTGCGGTAAAATTGACTTCTCACAAAAAAAAAACTTCATCAAATTATTCAACAACACTAAAAACGAATTAACAAATTTATCTAAGATCATCAATTGTGTGTATGATGTTGAGTGTGGGGCTTCTTTGTTTGTTTTATGTGTGTGTGTATGTGAAAAATTCATCTAATTCGATAAAGCGAACGTTGAGTTGACTCATGAAGAAAAACAAAATACAAACTGTTTTAAATGTATAGTGAACCATCGGCGGGCCCTAAATAATGAAGTGATATGAGAATTACATCGATTAGCGTCCACACACCCAAACCGCCAAAACTGAATAGTTTTCCAATTCCTTCTTGCCAGTGGCCCAAATAAAACCTGCAGAAAAAAAGAGCAAATGCAATAGAATCGTGGAAACGTGGTGGACACCCGTGTGTAAATAAAATGACTAACAGTCACTCAGTTGTATGTGGCTGTATTTAGTGATACACAACTAAAACTGGCTAAGTTGATTGAAATCATGCATTTTGTAAGGAGACAATCATGTTTAGTTATTCTTTCAGTCAGTCGACTAATTTGGGACATTTTGACTAAGAGTGATTTGTGATTAAAGTTAACTGCAGTTGCTTATTTTGTTCGAGACAATCATTTCTAGTCAGTCAAATAGTCACTGAATGTCCCAAATTAATCGACTGAGTTAGACAGTCAAAAAATTTCCACACGGGCAGTGATCGAGAAAAAAATGAAGAAAATCCAAAACCAAGCACTAAGTGGATGAGAATCATTTTTACAATCTTGTTAAGGAATTTTTACCTGTCGGCACCGAAACCACCTAAAGTAATGCTAATAAATAACGCTGTTGACCAACGATAGCCGTGTGTCCAGTTGCACCTCAGTCGTTTTGGGAATGTTCGAGCTCCCAAGCATAGCAAGTCTGGTTGTACTGAACAATTGGTCCTGAAAACAATGTTGAACATAAATAAACCATTCAAATTAAATTACATCAGACCGGAATATTCGCACAAAAAATCATCTGACGAATTCAATCCGGATACTTACAAATAAATTTGGTTAGCTGAATTACATCCATCTTTGAGGATACATGTGTGCTCCCAAGCCTCAGTTTGCCAGCAATATCGGCAAATCATACTTCGTTGAAAATCTCTGGGGCCCTACAAATGCACACATACACAGTGTTTGAGTAAAATTCATGTTGAAAATTGAATTCAAAACCAACGGCATGAAACTTACAATGCACACAACATGCGGATTGGCTACGCTGCACGTAACCATTTGCTCTTTACCATAAATACACGATAGATTAAAACTACATTTTATACATGGAAATGGTAATTGTTTACACTCGACCGTCTCGCCACTGGCTTCGGTTGGGCATGACATGAGTTCGGTTTGGCTCTGTAAAATGCACAAAAAAAAAACGATTTATTATTGAAATGGAAATCAAATAAACAAATAGAAATTTTGAACGACGAAATGTATGGTCAAATACATACTGGACTTGAAATTGTTAGGTAATCTGGATTCGAATTTGTGCTATTTTTGTGATTCTCCGATTTGGTCGGCACTTCCATATGATTGTGTGCTATGTGTGGATGATGAAATCAAAATAAAAATGTTATTCATTTTTTCATTTGAGTGTTCAACGCACACTTGGTGCGTATGCAATTTTATGGGGCTGAAAACAAACCTGTGCTAGTGAATTTGATGCCATTTAAGAAGAAACACACGACAATCAACAGCGCAGAACGTATATTCAACCGCACACATTGTGACCCAAACATTATGTACAACTCATTATTTGAACCATTAAAAAATGATAGAATCGCACACAACGCAAATCGTATTTCTCAAAATCACCGAAAAAAAACAACAACAATCGAATTGGATTGGTGAGCGAGAGAGAGAGAGAGAGAGAGAGAGACACAGAGTGAGAGGCGAAGAGCGAATGTGACGACAATTATGCGTGCGTGTGTGCTAAAAAATTCTTTTTCTGCTCAAAATTTATATCTTCCTCTTTTCACATTTATTGACACTAAGCAATGCATTGATTTGGTGTTGAACTAAATTTTTATTTGTGTTTTGACGTTTACATTGCAGTAAGAGCAAAAAAAAACATTCACTGAACTCGATGGGCTAGAAAAATGCGAGAAGAGGGGCGCACAGCTATGACAGCTCTCTCGGTGTTGAATATAGTATCGCTGAATGACAGTTTGACGTGTGAGTGTTGCATATGCAGGCGCTGCTGTCTCGTCTACACGAGTGGCGCGTAAATAGAAACGAGCATTTCTTTTTCGGCAAATTTCGATGCTGATTCACAATTAAAACCGTGTTTAACGATCTTTTCGTTTCCAAAACAAACATTCAATTATTTAAATGAATTACAAGCAAAATTTGTGCGCACACATTCACAAAGTAAATACGAAACAATTCGAATTGTTACGTTTATCAGCAGTTTTATCCAGCACACTTGTGTGTTATGTGCTGTCATGTTAATTGGCCATGTCTATATGTACGTGTGTATGTATTTGTGCGTGTGTATGTGTACGCGGGCGTATCGATGTGTGTATATTGTATTGTGTCAGAAGCATCGGATAATGTTTTGGCAACCAACTGAATAATACTGAGTTTTCCACCTTAGAACTCGTTTTGCGTTCATGATGTGTGTAAGCAAAATACAGCAAACATTGTGTGAATGACGACGACGGTAACAACAAATACAACCAGTGGCAACAGTCAACAATAATAATTCTCTTACTGAAAATATTCTATCGAATCGCAGCAGCAACAGAGTGTCAAAGAGAGCGAAGTGTGTGAGAGAAAATTCTCTCAGTTCCGAAGAAAATAGAATTTGTTTGAAATAACCGAAGAAGAAAAAACGGCAAAATAAAAAACGCAACACTAAATTTTACAGAGAAGACCGCGATATACACACTGAGTTCGGCCTCTCGTGGACACACACACACACACACACACCGTACCCGATTTTTCCAATTTCAGTGTGTGACAAGGTGTACAATTTTCAATAATTCTGTCAAAAAAAGAAAAAGAAAAATTCTTCGGCAAAACCAAATATCTCTCTATCCGTGTATCGTGTGAGCGTCAAAATTGTAAATACTCGGAAATTGTTGTATGTTATCCTAGTTTTGTGATTGTATAAATATTGCATTCGATCGGGTTGTAAATCAATTGCAGTGAATGACCGTGGCAAGCACTGAAAACGAAGAAATAAATAAATATAAGAAGCCAATTCGACAAGCCAGTGTGTGAGCCGAGTTGTATGTTTGTGTTTATAGCGAAGTTTCAACTGCCCGATCGAACGCGAAATATTGTCATCGAGAAGCAAAATAACGACGAAAAGTCAATAATTAAATGAGAGACATCAGCAACAAGCGTAGCCAAAATAAGTGAACATTCTGCGTGAAAATCCAAGTGTTTTCTTTTCCCCAAATTTGTTTGTTTGTTCGTTTTAAGAGAGAGCGAGAGGAAATTTTTTGTTTGATATTTGAGCAGTAAACTTGCATGAAATTCGATGAACTAGAGCTGCAACAACAGAAACAAAAACAACAGAAGAAGAGAAAAAAAAAGCGAGACGAGGCAAAAAGAAAAGAATAATAATTAAGTTCGAGCGATTGTGTGTGCATCATCTCGTTCGTGATATATATATATATTTTTTTTTCAGTTCAATGCCTCTTTGTTGATGATTTCCTTCTCATATCTCGCCGCTACCACGGCCGCACTTCATGCCAAAGATTGTTTTTTTTTTCGTTTGATTTATAGAATAATCGAGCCCGAGCACAGTGCTGCGAAGAAGTTGTAAACAAAAGTGTATGTGTGTGCTGTGCTGTGTTTTTTTTTTGTTTCAACACATTTGATTGCTGCTCTCTTCCTCTTATCTCGTCTCTGATTCACGATTTTCATCATTGTGCGGGTGCATATGTTGTACATTTTTTTATCGCAAATTCGTTGGTTGTGCGTCGTTTTGCAACTTGTTTGATAACAGCAGTTTGTGTAAGGTAATTGCCAGTTTTTTTTTCTTTTTTTTCACTCGTTCGTTTTATGCAATCAGAAGAATAGAAGAAAAAAAATGCATTGGCTGATTGAGATGAAGCAGGAATGAGAGAGGGGGGAATTTCAAGTTCAACGCTTTGCAACGAAAGGACCATTTTCAATTGAAAATATCGACAGAGCAAGAAAAAAAAGGTGAAGCAAAGTAATTGGTTGTCATTGAATCAGAATTGAAAATACGCTGTTGCATATCGTTATCAAAGAGGCGAGAGAGCGACATAGACACGCGTTCATTGGACATTTCGACGTGTTGGTTCTTTGTGTGTTGGACGAAACGGATGACCAATATTGTGATGCGAATGGAATGCGCAAAGTGTGTGTATACATGCGAATAGCATTGTCAATTATAGCTCCTCGTTTAACAATACATATCCTATGGTGACTCGTTCGCGTAGATGAATCATCGCCCGATTAATATTTTTTTCTACTTCTTCGAATTGTGTCTGTATGCTTCACTTTATGTAGTTTTTTGTTGTTATTGTCTTCTATTTATGTGTCTGCAAACAAAATGCGCTCTCGGAATACACATCGCCCAATTAAGCTTCTGGAATCAAAACGTTTTTTTTTTCACGTAGCGATAAAGCGCAACCAACGAATAGAATAGGATGAGAAAAAAAATGAACCGACGCGCGTCTTATTAAAACTATGCTTTCGGCCGTTGTTTACATTTATTGTCTAGCGTAAACGTTGAATAGATTTTATTGTTTCGGTGTCGATTTATTTTCTTCAGTGAATAAATTCATCTCGTTGCTTTTCTTGGCGCTAATTTAACAATTTCGAATCAATTAACCCAAAAGCGAATTGCGTTTTGCGAACGAGAACGAAGAGTGGCCAAAGAAAAAAACTACTGTAAATTTATGATGATCGGCGGTTGGAAACCTACGAAACAGGACGACTTATTCAAAATAGACTTAAAAAACAGCGGGGATGTGGGCCGATTTATATGATTCCACTTAAGAATTGTAAATATTTTGCTCTTTCGTTGGATCGATAAATTCATATGCTTCGTTTCAAATCCAGCTGAAAAACTTGATGGTTTTTTCCCACAAGCCGAGAATTGTTGCATTTGCACAAGGTTGGTAAATTTTGTATGCTCTCTGCAACTTGAAACGATGTCAAATCGTATTTATTGGAATTGGACAAATGCGCGTTGTTGCAGCACGGCATTGATCAACGATTGCAGATTGAGAGCATGTGAAACACACTGTCCATACCATTGAAAATGGGGGAAAAACGGCGCGTGAACTTCAGAAAATGTGAAAATTATGTCACACATATTTTATCAATCACGTTTCGAGGCATGTAATTCATTTCCATGCCGATTATAGCACAACTTTATTTTGTGCTAATTGCCACTGTATCCAGCTGTTGCGACCATTTCAAATGAACTTCTTTGACGCCATCATACATACAGACACAAATCCACAGTTTTCCCATAATAAATTTTCCTTGCATAATATTTTGCTTTTTCTCTTCGTTTATTTTTTTCTACTCTCTGTGTCTCTCTCTCTCTCTCTCTATCTCCGTGTCTCTCTCAGTCTCTCAGTCTCTTTGTGTGTCGTTCATGAGCAATTGTTATGAATTGGGTTTTCTTTTTTATTTTAAATGCCGTCTCATCGAAGAAAAGTAAATACGGTGCCACATAAAACACACTTTAAGCCGTTACCTTGGTACTATTTGGACTTTTCGCGCGATTTATGTAGGCATTTGTCGGCATTCAATGTTTCATGATTTATATTCATTGTTTTTCATTTTGTTCATAATTCTTCGTACCGTCGTCGGTCTCTCTCCTTCTCTACACTTTTTTTTATCGTTGCACAAAACTATTGGGCGATACATTTTTTTATACTCATTTGTCAAATCAGTCGATTTGTTGAGCTCTTTTGTTGAAGTCAACAAAAAGAGGCAGCAAGAAATGAAAAAAAAAGCAGAACAAATGTTACGAATGGTTTTTTTTTTATATCGTTCCAGCCGAGAAGAATTACCTCATCTTATGTCAGTAGTAAAAGTAATGTTTGATCTATAAGAAAAACACACTGAAAACAACAAAGGCTTACCAATTTTTAATTTTCGAAAACTTTTCGTTGATGTAATTGTCATGCTACAGCTGATTCGAAATTTTTGTCCGCAGTGCAGCTTTTTTTTTCTTCTACAAATACTGTTTCCAGCAAGTATGTAGGTATTTGTCAATTAAAAGCCGCATATTTGTTCATTACCTACTAAAAAAAAACATGAATTGAAAAAGCGGCAAAAATTGTTATGATTGAAAGGTCAGATAGTTTTTCTAAGCAACAAACAGAAAAACCGAACAAATGATGAATGTTACGATTAGTCAACACCGTTTCAAAAATGATTATTTGGTCATAGGCTTGACTCTTTTTTTTTATTTCCACACATTTCTTACTGTGAAGGAGATAATCATATCTACCCGAAGCATGAACTATATGCACTAATCCATTCAATTTGTATGGGTTCTTCCGATTGATAAAGAACTATTTCATGCAATCGAAATTGGAAAACCGGTATCTAGAACACAAAACTCGCTCTCGTGCAAACTAAACTGGGTGTTTGGTGTTGTTTTTTTTTCTGTTCGATTTTCAGCAGTAGCTCACTCGTTTTGAGCATTTATACATGTAATAAACGATAAGTAAAGGAAAATTTATTACAGATGGTCATGGAATTGAAGTCAAGGGAAAGTTAATGGGCCTCGTATTTTGCCATATATTCGTTTTTTCTCTTTAATTTTTTTTTTCATAAATGCACATTTACGCTACGATGGATTTCATTGCTACGTGTAAATGCCTAAGATTACACCGGCATCGTACTTATCACTGTCACTGCCTCCAAATGATATTCATTACGATCGGCTGTCATATGATGAAATCGGAAGTGCAAGCGCGGGCGCGGGTGTGCACACATTCTCTTAGTTTATTTACAACATTCTACGAATAAATTGTGGTTCTGTTCGTAATCAGCATGTGTAACATCCAACTTTCAATTTGTCAAATCACACCACTGAACAAATTCCAGTAAAGAGTAAAACTTCACTGTGCTTTTAGAAAAAGAGAGAAAATCCAAACATCCACACACCAAATGCAACGAAAAATCAGCAACAACGA